AAACTGAATATATACTGCATAAAAAATATTTTAAATATTAATATAAATTATAATAGATTTAGTGCTGTCAAATGATTAATCGCAATTAATCACATACAAAATAAAAGTTTTTGTTTGCATAATATATGTGTGTGTTCGGCTTATATTTATTATGTATATATAAATACACACATACAGTATATATTTTAAATATTATAAATGTTATTCCACTGTTTAATTTCTGGATGAACTTTAACAGCCCACATTTTTAACATCAGATTCCTGTAAACACAGCAGAGCGAAGGCCGTCACTCACCTCAGGAGACGCGTCCTCCAAACAGAAGAGAAACCTTAGTCATATATATATAGTCATTTTTTCTGAAATATATACATGCATGTGTGTGTGTGTATTTATAGAGCATTTAAGCATAACTTTTGAATAAGAACTGATAATCATTTCTGATGATATCTGATAATTCAAGACTTTGCTATAAAACATGATCCACTAAAAAGTCCTAAAATGTGGGAAGCGACTATATTATTCATTCTCTGCTGCTGTAACAAATGCTTTTTCTTGGTCCAGACACAGGGTCTGCCTTATCTATTAAAGTTAATTACAGAACTGGTCAAACCATATGCAAACCAGACCATATCAGACTGATAGCAATGGATTGACAAACACAATTCTGTCCTATGTGAGATATTTCCTATTGAAACTAAGCCCTCATCAATAGCTTTGGTCTGTTGTTCTGGTTCCTGGTTTAGAAGGACTGTAATATTTTAATGTTTATGTCAGCTGTAACACTGGTCTGGCTTTGAGGAGGCACCGCTGACACAAACACTGCATTGAACAGATAGATTGATGGGCTGTTTATCGATTGAACATTGTTCACACTGTCAGGTGCTGAAGTTCAAGTATTGAGCAAGAGGTCAGGGTGGCTTTAATTAAAATCCCTGCTTAAGCAAACCCCATTACAGGCTCGATTTTTCCATTTCCCACAATGCAATGCTGTAGGTATTATGCAAAAGGGACAACCAGCATGTTGCTTTCTAATGCTGATTGTGAGACTGGTCTGCTTTAACTCAGGAATATTATAGTTAAATACAATTAAATTAAAACCATAAAAAAGCATTTTACCTGAAATAATGATAATAACAAAATGTTAACTGACATTAAAAAACAAAAACTTAATTCAACCTGTTGCCAAGACAATGTATGACGAATGAGTCACTTTAGCAGAAGATTAAAACAAAACAATAAACCTCATCTATTATTAAAAAGCACTCAGCGCACTGACATTATAGGAAGTGTGCAATAACTCGTCATTACGGCTGACAAGAAACAAAATAATTGAACGGGTTCGGCCCATCTGTGTGGGTAATGATTGCATTCAGGAGTTGTGTGCTAAAGCAGACAATAATTAGCACTCAGTGGCAGATCTATTAGTTCAACTCGAGCTGATGGGAGCCGGCCTCAGGAAAATAGATTACAGCCTCATGTCTCAGAGACTGGGATTTAAATGACACAATATTAATTATCATCTCTTGTCGGCAGGAGCAATTTTAAAGTGCCCCTGGTTGGGCGTAGACCACTGCCTCGTTTATTAGATTCTGACCTGGTTTAAAATCATATTTAGCTTGTCAAAAAGTAAACGTTTTATTGCTAAAGCAATATATTCATAAGAAACAGACGACTGCTGCAGGCAACAAAGTATCAAAAATATGTAAGTATACAAACACACACACACACACACACACTGTGTGCCCAATACCATAATATATAAATAGAAAATAACATTAACATAATAATAATGATAATAATCATAATAATTAATAATAATAATAATAATGCATATTTCTATTATTATTGTCATCATCATTATTACTATACATTATAAGTATAATGTAATACATAACTATTTTTTATTATCATAATTTTTTATCATTACTAACTATAATTTACTACTACTATTATCAGTATTTAATTATATTAGTATTTAATATAATTTACTATAATAAATACGTGCAAGTATGTCCAAATAGCATAATAATAATAATAATAATAATATTTCAATCATTATTAGATATATATTATACATATCTATTATTAATATTAACATTATTATTACCAACTGTAATTTACT